TATCTAAAAAGCCTCCCAGGTCTTTCTTCAGTCCACAGAAGTTTTAAAAGCAGTGCATGGGCACCATGCATAGAATCTGTTAATGTTCGTATTTTTATGTTTTATTGAAATCTAACTAAATACCGTGATGAATGACTAAGTCATCTGCTCATCTTTTGGGTATTTGACATAATGCAGATTAAATGTCTAGGACTCAGGTGACAGGTAAGATGAGTGCACTTCTCATCTTGATATTTTGGCCCCTTTTGAAAAAACGTTTTTCTTCCAGTGCAGTCATCCACTTTGCTACCCTCAATATAACTTATGTTATATTTTCCAATTTTTTTTTTTTTTACCATTTTCATAATATTTCTTTTGGCTTCCTTTGCGGATTACAAAAAAGATTCTGAAACAGATGGGAAATACGTGGGTCAGATTAAGCTACCTATGGTAGTTTGGGCATGGTTTCAGCTGCTGTAACTCTAAGAAAGTTAACGTCGTACGTACAAGGTAGAATGACCTTTCTCTCTCAGGTAACACTCAGAGGGCAGGCAGTCCACCCCAAAATGGCAACTCTGCTCCGTCAGGTCCAGGGATGTGGCTTCTTGTACCTTGTTCCGCCACATTTCCAAGGGTGTTGCTGTCCTTGTCTGCATGGTCTGACATAGCTGACTACCACAGTAACATTCCAGCCATCCAGTAGGAAAGAAAGTAGAAGAGGAGAAGCTATCTCTTCCTTTGTCATCATGTTCCACAAATTGTGTTATTTCTTCTCACATTCTATTGTCTAGAACTTAGTCATATGGCTATATCAAACTCCAAGGGCGTATAAGAAATGTAGTCTTATCTGGGCAGGCTTGTAGCTAGTTAAAAATTAGACATTCTACTACCATAGAAAGAAGGGAGAGAGGGCTAGTCTCTGCCACCTCACCTCATGACTCTGTCCAGCTGGAGCTACACTGGGCTCAATATTTGCTGTTAAAAAGCCTCTTGCAGCCAGGCGCAGTGGCTCACGCCTGTAATCCCGCATTTTGGGAGGCTGAGGCGGGCGGATCACGAGGTCAGGAGATTGAGACAATCCTGGTTAACAAGGGGAAACTCTGTCTCTACTAAAAATACAAAAAAAAAATTAGTTAGGCGAGGTGGCGGCCGCCTGTAGTCCCAGCTACTTGAGAGGCTGAGGCAGGAGAATGATGTGAACCTGGGAGGTAGAGCTTGCAGTGAACCGAGATTGCACCACTGCACTCCAGCCTGGCCAACACAGCAAGCTCCGTCTCATAAAATAAAAAATAAATAAAAATAAAATAAAATAAAATAGGCTCTTGTTATCAGATACTCAGTAACTGAGGATACGTTTATACAAGGTCAAAGTAATGGATCGGTTCGCTGAGATTGTTCTTTCTTGCCCAAGAGACCAAGCCACAATCATACAGGAGTTGCCTCTTGAAGATAATGTATTTTGCCTCTTGAAGATAATATATTCTGGGCCAAAGCTGATCAAGTCAAACAGGTACTATCTTTATACTAGAGTGACCAGGTGAGAACCATCCTGGGAAATAGAATACAAATTAAGAAGCTAGGAGATAATTCCTATATGAAACTTAAAGAGGAGGAAAAGGGACAGAGAGTCAATGAAGGTCAACATTAAAGGCAGCAAAATGTAGTGGTTATGAACATGGCCCTGGGGTTAATTCCTGTGTATCAGAATTCTCCAGATGTGAGAATGTGGCACACATTATATAATTTAATATACAATTTAAACCTCAGTTTCCTTCTTTGTGAAACTGGAATAGAAATTGTAACTAACTCACTCATAAGCTTGTTATGAGGATTAGATTGTATAATGTCTATAAACACTTAACATGAGTACGACACATAATAAGCCCTCAATAAATGTTAACTATTATTAAAATGGGGTCTTTTAAATCCCCTATGGTCTGTTTTATTTAGCAAATAATCTTCCTCCATGATTAACTCTTTTTCAAGCTGGAAACTATGAATTAGATTGGCCAAAGAAAACAGAAGGAAGCAGCCAACCTGAAGAGCCAGTTTTTGCTCCACCATTCCTAGGACACACAGATGGGAAACTCAAAAGTTGCCAACCTTGCCCAAACAAATTCATGCCATGAGGCTTCTCCTGGATTAGTAAGCACTGGCTAATTTCCTTGCCTGGGTAACTTATACAATGAGGAATAAGTCCAAACTCTTCTCCCAGTCAGTCCTGGAGAAATAAAAACCCTAATAAAAATAATTATAAACAAACCACGAGGAGGGTAATGCACCTTCCATTAAAGGCTATTGTGGGGTAGATGAAGTCTGTTGGGAAATGTGCAGCATGGCAGCAATATCTTGATAAATAAGCTAAGGCTGCAGTGTGCTCATGCTGATAACAAGCAGCATGGAACAACTGCCTCTTCTACAAAACCCTGGGATTTATGTCCAGTCTGCCTGCATTGAAAACCAGAGAATTAACTCATGAAACTCATATATCAACACATGCAGAAAAATAAATCACAGTATAGAAATGAAATTAGCATGAAATTAGCTGTAGAACATAAATAAAGGTACTGACACTTTTCTGCATCTTCTATAGCAAATGTCTTTGGAGAACTCACCAAACTTGGACTATACCTGATGGCTCCTGTGATTTATTTCAACATTTTCTATCCTAAGCAGGTTGTTTGCAAAGTCCTTCAAGTATCATTAAGACAAATCAGGAAACACAGATAATTCTTCAAGAGAAGAATATGATCATGGAAAGACACTGCTTATACAGAGTATCCCCGTGTGTCAGTGCAGCCTCCAGAACAGTGTCTTGTTGTATTTATTAATCCATTGCCACAGAGATTACTACAGTCTGACTCAGAGTCCTAATTAATTTTTGGCACATTTAGAAATTGTGACTGTCATTAGCCAGGGAGCCTCTTAAATCAACCCCCCTTTTAATGCAGTTGCCTTTTTATGGTGTATATCACATTGAGAAATGGATTACAGGATCCTTAGCTTTAACTATCCTGCATTAGTTGATCGCGTACTATGGATGTGTATTGCACAGTTTATGTATCATAGGGGAGCTAGGGTATGGATGACAGATAAATTAAACATGAAATTGGTGATGTCTGGGACCTGGTAGGAGGTGAGGCAGAGAAATACAGGCAAAAGTCAAGGCAATGGGATGGAAAAATCAGACATTTATGACAAGCTTAAAATGAACTTGTTAGTGAAGTGTAGTATTTAGAAAGAGTCCTACCTCGTTATTCAAGGAGGTGATTTTTTTTCATAGTACTCTGATCCTCTAATTGCTTCTTCTTCCCTTTTATGATCAGATCCCCTTCAATGTGCAAATGGGGGCAATGGTAATTTAGTTCTATGAAGTCATACTCTGCATCTAAGATGAATGATTATCACATATTTAACTTGTCCAATATGTAGACATACAGTGTGAGTCGGTAGATATAGGGTTTGACTAATTTCCTGTTATCAACTTGCTTTGGGAGTTGGGTTAAATTGTTCAATGTATTAGTATCTCAGTTTCCTCACCTATGAAATAGGATAATAATAAATAATCTTTCTAATTCATGAGGTAAGAACCAAATAAGATCTTCTATTTTGCTCTACCTAAGACATTTGGGAGGCAAGAAGCAGACATCCACAAGGACACCTGGAGTAAAATGGTATTTGTTTTCAGGTTAGACACAGACGGGAATAGAAATTGCAAGGACCCTTCCTTGAGACAGCCAAAGCTCATCTCCCATTCCAAGCCCATGTGGTCCTACACTCCTGGCATCTCTCATTCTCTCTGCAAGTTGGTTCCATGCCTCACCTTCAAACCATGGCAACCCAGTGAGGTCCTCCCACATGTGGCCCACAGTGGCGACTCTAGACTTGAATCTATCTTAGGACCCTTCAGCTCAGCTACTATAGAAAGCCAACTCGCCTCCTTATTGTCCTTTAGATATGTCAAGCTCATTTCCACTTCAGGGCCTTTGTATTCGCACTTCTTCAAATGCTCTTCTCCCAACTCTATGCATGGTTTGCTCCTTCACTGCATTTCAATCTCTGTTCAAATCTCATTTGTTTAAAGATAGCTTCCCTGATCACTCCACTTAATATTACACCATCTGGTACTCTTTTCCCCTTATTTACTTTTATTTTCTTAATACCACCTATCATTCTCTGCCATATATTTATTTTTTGTCTATTTCACCCATTAGAAATCAGGTCAATGAGGTCTGGAACTTCGTTGTTGTTGTTGTTGTTGTTTTCCTGTGATATGTCCTTTGCTTCGAAAACTCCCTCACACCTAAGAGGAACTCAATAGATACTGATTAACTGTATATATCACGAATAAGTGAATGAATGTCTCATTGCCCCAGATTTGTAGTTTCAAATTTTTAAGAGAATTTTTAATGGATGCATTTCATAATTTTCAGAAAGACAGTTTCATCAATTTCTGCTTATAGGTTTCTATCCATGTGACAGCTGGACAGTCTCATTAGGCAGGGTTGAGATGGGGCCATTTCACATAGTACTGAGCACAGGCACTTAGAGCATGGATAGCTAAGGGAGGCAGATCCCTTAAGTTGGGGCTTGGATGGTGCAATCCTGAAGGCATGTTGAGTCTCTTGGACGACCAGCTTAGCTCTGAAAGACACAGAGGGCCATCTTCCTGTGGCTAAGAATCTCAAGGTCAGAAACTAGGCCAGATCCTACAAGTACTAGCTCTCTGGCCTTAGTTGTAATTTTTCTTAACCTTTTTATTTACTCTGCATTTTGTATTGAGTTTCCATGAGTAACTAATAACAGCAGTGGTTAATATTTTTGAGTATTCCTGATGAGTCTAACACTTTATGTGCATATTTATGAAGCTTAACTCCTGGGCTTCTCATAACCATCTTCTGAGGTAGATACTATGATTCACTTCATTTTGCAGATGAAGAAATATGAGAATAGAGAGAAAATAAAGTGCCTAATGTCACTTGGTGAGTAATTAATACAACCAGAATTTGTACCCAGTTAAGTCCGGCTTTTCAGCTTTATTTAACAAGGTTATTTTAATCCACTCACTCCACTGTGGGACTTCGCAAGAAGTTCACATTTTCTTAGAAGTAACATTCTGATGAGGTGAAACATACAAATATGATTTCAATAATAAAGTATTATGTGCAAGCTATTCTCATTAAACAAACATTTAAAATACATTAAATATACATTTGGGTCTGTGCAGTTCCACAGACTTAAGATCTAGTATTCTCTATGGCCTTTGCATCTCTTTTTATGGATGTGCATTAGAAATTACTTAATTTTTATGGCCCAGAATGGCAGGGTTTTTAATTAAGAAAGTCACCAATTTTTATAATAAGCAAATATCAAGCCCTAAAATGCTGTGCTCCATATCATGCTTTCTCTTTGGGTTTTGGCAATATGCCCTAACAATACGTGCAAAAAAGTGTCTGAAAGAGTCCTAAATAAGTTAAGGTTTACACTCATACTAATGGCAACACATAACTTTGTTGGCTTTCTTGAGCTCTGTTTATAATAATAATATGAACACACAAGGTACAAAATAAATGTTTGAGAAGGAAAGAATTCATTGATGCCCCTTTACTTAACATTTACCAAGGCACCATGTTAAACACTGAGAGATCCACGATACATAAAACAACATTCCAAATTCACCCCGAGCACTTTTTTCTGAAACACAAGAACAAACCTGAAAAGTCAGTATGTGACTGCCCCAAATTTTGGTAATATCATACAGTGCAAGAAGAAATCAGGGATAGGTTTATCCCTTGAAATTATATAGCTTCCCATTGCTAACTAGTAGGTTTTCCCCAGAATTTCTGTCTTTAAAAAAGCTGTGTGTTTCAATTGCATTAAAATTAAGCAGGTGAGAATTTATTTATCCTTGTATACTAAAGGTTTAACAAGGACGAGAAAAAGGCCATATTTACAAACACCTATCTATGGACTGCAATTGTTTTGCATCTTTCAATGGGATTGTTAGTTCTATTTTTGTTTGTTTTTGCATGTGTGCTTTATACAAAAGACTCTGTAAAGTCTTGATTTCCATATTTCTGGTGAAGCTCTTCCAGGTCTTCATGGCCCCATACCCATCAATCATATGTGCCTCACAGATTTCCTTTGTCAGTAGCACATATCAGTATGATTAATGATTCAGTGTTCATACTCAGGAATCTGATTGGAGACGTGTGGTTTCATTTGTTGGAACATATAATTCAAAAATCACTGGTGAAGTTGTCCAAAAAAAAGAGAGAGCAATGCAAGTCCATCTTACTTATTACGAACAACAAAGCTTGGTAGCTTATTAGTGTAAATAGGCTCTCTATGCCAGTATATTCCCTGGGGATAAACTAGGTGATTGAGAGGGATCGTTTAAGTTTTTAGAGTGATTATACATCAGCATTACATGGAAGTCCTATTACATGAAAGAGTGAGTATCACACTGTGTTGAAGGCTTCCTCATTGGCAGAATGAGGGCTCATGAGCTGTTTAGTAAAACCTTACTTTTGTTTTGTTTCTGACAGGGAGTACTAATTATTTGTATACTTAAATATTTATTTATTAATTATTAAATTAGCTATTTACTTATCTAAAGATATGTACTGTTTATGTAAAAAATGATAGAGGGTTATTATTAAAAATAAGAAACATCAAATATGTTTTCAACCCCCCCGAAATCCTACAGTCCAAATGACTCTTGGTCTTACAGGAGGTCTTAAGAGTGACATAAGAAACTATAAAGTATCAAAATGCATTGAAGGTTTTCTAGAATCTTGCATTTATGCAATTCCTAGAAATCTGGTAAAAGGTGCATTTTAAGCTAGAACAGGTTTTAGTTTTGTGTTTTTTTGTTCTTCAATAAATTTTGTTTATACATCTGGCTATTATTTTGAGGGGAAACAGTTTGTTCTCACTGTTATACTTACCTAAATTTCAAACATATTAAAGATTTCATTTTTTGAAAAAAACAAAACTATAATATTTTGATAAAATGTTAGTATTCTAAAACCTTGGTTTTAGAAGCTCTTTTAAAATGTGTCAAAGCCCAGACTTTAAAAAATTTGGCTGAATATAATAGAAAACTCCAGTATATCAAAAATACAAACAAAAAGCTATTAATTCACAGATAAAATTACAAGAGAAACACAATGGGAAGAAATGACAACACATGATAAAGAATTAATTTTTAATATTCTAAAGGTGCTTACTCTTAAAAATTAATAAAAGTGAGATAAAAAGTACAATAGAAGAATGTACAAAGAGAAATATTTCTTCACAAAATGGCCAAATCAGTAACACAGGCTTTGTGTTCAAAGTATTGATAAGTGCATACTTCACTAATAAAGAATCTATAGTATATATTTTATTATTATTCTAGAAAATTTCAGACAATCAGCAAATGGAATGAATTTTATTATCAATATGCCATAGAAATTCAGTCTTCTAATTTTTCTAGCTTATGTTATGTTGAGCCTGCATGTGGTCTCTCTTCCCGGAGGAGGGACAGGATAAGACCAGCAGTATCCCATATGATTCCAAATGGAAGTCCAATAATGTCTTGGAATTCACTACTTCTCATATCCAAACAGTGCTTTATCTACATTAATGTATGTGTTTGTAATTTTAATATGGAAATAAATGAGCAATCAGAGTTGTTCAAAATATAATTTTTGAATATACTTTTGTGATTGATAATTATGCCCCAATCACTATGAAACTCAGATTATTATTAAAAAGAACCTTCCCCTCTTTCTTAGTACTAAATTCAGGCTCTTGTAGATCTTTCACAAGCTCTGCTTTGAGATCAGGTGGTGCTGTGGCATTAAAGTTGCAGGTTTCAGTCAAAAAATCCCAAAGTAGGTCTGCAGTTTCATTACCATCAGTAAAGCAATCAGATATGTCCAACGTGGACAAAAGGTCGTAGCACTCATACTTAAGCCCTAGGTTGTCCAGCATCTGAGTGATGTCATCTGACGTGACATATAGGCACAGGTCATCCTGGGGTAAGCGTGATCTGTACTTTTTCCACAGCTTGTCCCAGCCGCTGCTTCCTGTGCAATAAAACACAATTCATGCTTTCATTTATTCTCTCTTTCATTTGCAGTCTGCCAGAAAGTACACTAGATGCTTAGAATAGAACAAAATAATAATCTTGTCCTTTGTGCAGCTCATATTTCAAGGAGTACGGGAGGAGAGAGAAAAATAAGTAAATATATGGTGATAAATGCTAAATGAAAAAGTAATCTGAGTAAGTGCTAAGAGGGTTAAAGACTTTGATGGGTTGCTGTTTTAACTAGGGTGGTCACAGAGTCTCTCTAATAACCTGACATTTGAGCAGAGACCTGACAGCAAGCCATGAAGATATCAGGGGGAAGATGACTCCAGGAGACAGATGAGCAGCTGCAAAGGACCTGAAGCAGGATGATACTTGGCCCGTTAAAGAACTAGCTGGGAAGCCAGTGAAATTGGAGCTGAATGAGTGATGGCAGAGGGGAAGGAGATGAGGTTAGAGAGATTAGCGGTGGGGAGTGGATGAAGGACCCAGATCACTTGGGGCCCAATGGGAAACCACTATAATGCTGTCTGATAGAACTTTCTGAACCAATGGACACAATCTATATCTGCATTGTCCAGCAGGATTGTCACTCACCACTTGTTGCTATGGAGCACTTGAAAGGTGGTTTAGGACTTGAGTTTCAAGTATGACTGAAGACCTGAATTTTAAGTTGCATTCATTTAAATTAATTACAGTTTCAACTTCACTACCAAAACATGGTTTCTGTATGGAACAGCACATTAGGATGACTCAATATACATTTAATAAGGTCACCCTGGCCACACAGATGAGAAGAGAGTACTGGAGCATAAGGGCAGAGGTGGGGAGAACAGTGAGAAGGCTACTATAATCACCTGGGGATAGGTGGGGGCAGGTCCCATAGACCAGAGAGCTGGGAGGTGAAGAGAAGTGGTGGGAGTTTTTATGTATTATACTCCTAGATCCAACAAGGCTTGCCAACAGTTTGGAAGTAGGATATGGGTAAATGGGAAGAATCAGTGATGACCCCAGTGATTTCTGCATAGGAGCCTGAGAAGACAGAATTGCCATTATTGGAGAGGAGAAGAATGAGGGACGAGCAGTTTTGTATCATCAGGCCTCTGGTTTCAGGAATATAGATTTGAGATACTTAGTGGACATTCAGGTGGTGACATGAGAAAGGTAGTTATTAGTCTGGAATTCAGACAAGAATCTTTAACAGTAAAATTTAAAATGGAAAAAAAGAGCACAGTAATGGTGATTTTTCTCAAATAAATGATTTTTTACTCTCGTCTCTATATAAAAAAAGATGCTGCCTTGGACTGACAATAGGTGGATTTCCATAAATCTTGTCCCCAAGTTCAGAAGACCCCTTTAGTAATGTTTGTAGTATTTAACTGAAATTCTAACCCTGCAGAGAAGCTAAGGAATACCTTATCTGAGGGAGACAGACATGAACTGAACTCTTCTTCTGATGCTTTATGAATGAGATGAGGCTTGTGACATGAGCCTCTCAGAACTTAAATTTCCTCATCTGTAAAATGTGGATTATCTTACTTACCTTGAATGCAACTACAAGCGTTACATGAGATAATTTAAGTGAATTATTGCACAATGGTAAGCAGATGAAAGATGTGTAATAAGTGCTTATAAAATACATGAATTAGTCTGCTAGTGCATTTTCACTGATTGTAATCTTGAGACTAAAAAGCAAACCTGCTATTCAGAAATCTACAATAATAATGAGTTTCTATTTATGGGCCTTCTAATACATGCATATTACATACACAGTCAGTACAGGCAGTAATAAAGAGCATGGTCTCTAAAACCCAATTGCCTGAGTATGAAGCCTGGCTTTCCCTCTTACCAACTTTATGAACCTGTCTCAGTTTTATCATCTGTAAAACAGGGGTGATAATATAATCCATTCATAGACTGCTACAAGGATTCACTAAGCTAATAAAGTAAAGGCCCTTAGAACCATGACACATTAGTTAACATTACTGAAGTGTTAAACTGGATTTGGGAAAAGCAGTATGAGAGACAACTTACACCTTCTTTGTGCTTCTAGGATTAAATGTCTTGAGCTACTTTTGGTTCCCAAGTCCCCTTTATGATTTAGTGAGAGTAACTGACTCTCCAGAAAAATACACAAACAATACATACCCACACAGTTTTGCATATGATTATAGAATGCTCAAAGACCCTTGACTCTCATGGATGGATTAAGCTAAAGTTCCCAGATTTAATTCAACCCAAGAGATGAACCAAGACAAATAATAGGCTAAATAATAAATAGCCTAGGATAATTGATGTTCTACTTATATTTCAGAAGAGGGAGAGGTAACTATAGGATATGCTCTAGGAGAAGGTGGAATTGGAATGAAGTAGAAAGAATAAAACTTCCGTTCAATGAAAATAAATGAGGGTTGTGAGTATTTATTACAAAATATTTTATTCCAAAGACAATGAATCGTCTTCCTAAATAAGAGTTTGCCGGCAAACAAGACATTACAAGAAAATCAGCATTTCGGTGGGTGAAGAGAGGCTCTATTATCATCATTATTATTATTTTTAACCTGGCAGTGAAAAAAGAACCAAACACTAACTGCAGAAAATGTGCTGGTGTCAGTGATGTGACTTGGTGCCATTTCTGAGCTGAGCAATTATGCACTTCCCGACTGATGCATTATCATAATGGCTCTCGGTGGGCACGACATATGGTGTTACTTTTGTTTTCAACATGATGTAAACCAGATTTTTTTTTCACTGCGTTAAAAATAACACACAATGATTTGCCTCCTTCCTTACTCAGGTAAGGAGAGGACAGACAGAAGCTTCAGTCTCTGAATCTTCTTCTTCAGAAGGAGATCTCCTTCTGGCTCATCTCCCTTAACCAGACAGGCTGCCTTTTAAATAGCAACCCTCCCAATTGATGTTTGGCTATAACATTTGCAGAAAAAACATTTCTTTGATACAATTTTAGTGTGGGATACTCCACATTTTTTTGAGAAATCCAACTCCCTTGTTCTTATGTCTCTTCTTTTTTATCCCCAGATCAAATTTCTTTCATCTCCATTATCAGGAACTTCTACTAGTTATCACTAAATGACTATCTCTTGAGTTGGGGTAATTCTGTAATAGATATTTACAAACACAGAGGAAAGGTTGATTTCCATCAAGCAACATAAATTTCAATAAGCTGACCAGTAAATGTTGTCATTTAATTCTGATTTCAATTTATTTTTCTTTCCCTAATTAGTTTTAGTTGTTCTTCATTGCTTTTGTCTGGCTACTTCCATTTGCAGTGTGTGTGTGTGTGTGTGTGTGTGTGTGTGTGTGTGTGTGTGTGTCTTTTTTATTGAGTCTTTTATTCCTATTTATTAAACTCCATCTGCAAATATCCAGAAATTCCTGTGTTCTCTGATTTCATCAAGTCAGTTTTAGTTGAAATATACTCTTTTTCCTTGGATGTATGTTCAGAGCTTATTGTAGTTCTGATATCATAGGGCAGAAATAATAAACAATTAGTCAGTTCAATTAAAACATGTTTACTGAGTATTGTCTCTGTGCCAAAGTCTTTACAAAGATCTAGGAACAGAGATGAATCTCCCTATATGCCTCCCTGTATACCATGAGTACTCAGTTTTGTGCATTGCAGAGCAGCTATGGATGACAATATTACCCTGCAACAAATGAACATACACAGAAGCATCTTCCCTTTTAGGTAATTATGAGGCAAATTCCATTGAGAAAGTGACCCAAAGAATCTTGATAAAAACAGAACCTAGTGTAAACCAATGTGGTATAGATATTCCAAGTTCTAGGTCAATATTCAACTTTAGGAAATGTTTCAATCTGTCGAGTGAATGAAAAATGGGGTTTAAATAATTATTTTGTTCACTGACATGGATATGAAAATGTCTGATTAGAAATTTCTTGGGATCAAATTTGTTCCCAATGTTGGAAACTAGATTTTATCTATTTTTCCAAAAGCTAACCAATATATTTGTATTGGGTATGTTAATATAACAAAGCAACTATTACTATTTTTAAAAAATAGGAAACTACAGTCACCTTCATCATATACCTTATCTGAGGGAGATAGACATGAACTGAACTCTTCTTCTGATGCTTTATGAATGAGATGAGGCTCATCTCAGGGAGGGGAGCAAAATAATTTATCTCAGGGAAATGTGTTGTTATTAAGACAAGTTCATGTATGCACAGGTTTATCTAGGTGACAGAAATAGAATAAAAGGGAATTAAACTAGCCTATAAGAGGGTTGCTGGGTCAACTGGTAGTTCTTCTTTTAACTCTCTGAGAAATTGCCATACTACTTTCCACAGTGGTTGAACCACTTTACACTCTCACCAACAATGTATAAGTGTTCCTTTTACTCCACAACTTCATCAGCATCTGTTATTTTTTGTCTTTTTAATACATAGTCATTCTGACTGGTATGAGATGGTATTGCATTGTGGTTTTGATTTTCATTTTGCTAATGATCAGTGATGCTGAGCTTTTTTTCAAATGTTTTTTGGCCACAACTCTGTCTTCTTTTGAGAAGTGTTTATTCATGTCCTTTGCCCACGTTTCAATGGGGTTGTTTTTCTCTTGTAAATTTAAGTTCATTATAGATGATGGATATTAGACCTTTGTCAAACGCATAGTTTGCAAATATTTTCTCCCTTTCTGTAGGTTGTCTGTTTATTCTGTTGATAGTTTCTTTTGCTGTACAGAAGCTCTTAAGTTTAATTAGATGCCATTTGCCAATGTTTTTATTGCTTTAGGTGTCTTTGTCATGGAATCTTTGCCTGTTCCTATGTGCAGGATGGTATTGCCTAGGTTGTCTTCTGGGTTTTTATAGTTTTGGGTAGTCTTTAAGCCATAGTGAGTTGATTTTTGTATAGAGTATAAGGAAGGAGTCCAGCCTCAATCTTCTGCATATGGCTAGCCAGTTATCCCAGCACCATTTATTGAATAGGAAGTCTTTTCCCCATTGCTTGTTTTTGTCAGCTTTGTCAAAGATCAGATGGTCGTAGGTGTGTGGCCTTATTTCTGGTTTCTCTATTCTGTTCCATTGGTCTATGTGCCTGTTTTGGTACCAGTACCATACTGTTTGGTTACTGTACCCCCCTATAGTATAGTTTAGTATCTCATTACTGGGTATATACCCAGAGGAATATTAATCATTCTATCATAAAGACGCATGCACATAAATGTTCATTGCAAGATTATTCACAATAGCAAAGACATGGAATCAACCTAAATACCCATCAGTGACAGACTGGTTAAAGAAAATGTGATACATATACACTATGGAACACTATGCAGTCATAAAAAAAAATGAGATCATATCTTTTCCGGGGACATGGATGGAGCCAGAAACTATTGGCCTTAGAAAACTAACGCAGAAACAGAAAACCAAATACTGCATGTTCTCAATTATAAGTGACAGCTAAATTATGAGAACTGATGAACACAAAGAAGGAAACAACAGACATTGAGGTCTACTTGAGGAAGGAGGGTGGGAGGAGGAAAAGGAGCAGAAAAGATTACTATTGGGTAGTGGGTTTAATACCTGGGTGATGAAATAATCTGTTTAACTACCGCCCCCCCCCCCCACCGGACACGTTTACCTATGTGATAAACCTTCAGATGTACCCCCGAACTTAAAATAAAAGTTAAAAAAGAGGGTTGCAATAGAAAGTGAGGAGGTGGCATCTCAGCACTGAACTAAGAGGATATGAGGGAAGACTGAGAGAAGTTATGAGAACAGGTTCAATGGAAGGGAGTCCAGACTGAGCAAGAGAAAGGTGAGAAAGAGAGTCACGGTGGGACCTTAATGCTGAATTCTGTTCTTTGTTCCTCTTTCTCCCCAACAGGTCTCAACATCTGTCAAAAGCAAGAATGGTGTTTTGGAGAAGGAAGGAGGTAGGACTATGTCCATGTTTAGGGCAATGTGAAACAAGATGAGAAAGGGCAGATGCATCACATGCAAGATTTGGAGAGAAGAAACCAAAAGTTGAACTTGGAGCAGGCAGTGGATGGCAATCACCAGGAACATTTAAGTCTGACCCCAGGAATCCTCAGGAGTAAAGGAATGGTGATGAGGGGATGGATTACCCAAGTTACTTGAAATGAGAGCTCCGTCATTTACTCTGGATGTTTAAGAGTTAAGTATGACATGCCCATAGGACTGGAGAATCTGGGGACATTCCAGTTATACTAAATTGATGACAATGATCAACACAGTTCACAATTCTATTTCTCTTTTCAGGTAGAATTATTTTTCACTGCAAAGTAATCATTAATGTGAAAAGTGGGTTTTTAAAAAATTAACTTATATTTAATTAATTTATTTACTTAGCATTCTGACAAATAGAGGCAAAAAAAGCCAAGACATTCTTAGCCTTAGAAGAAAGAGAAGCAGAAAACACCAAATAAAATATCTAAATCTTTCTTCTACTTTTGCTAAGTGGTTTTTCTTTTAGGAAAAAATGGATGGCTATAGCTGTGTAAATCTCTTCTAAGAAGTGCGTATGGTAAGGAAGGAGATCATCAAAATCTCTTTAATAATCTGTCAAATGTTATTCATTGCATTCTTGTGTCTATTAACAACGTTTTCGTCTTTGGAACAGCTGTCTCCTGTGCTATAAGCAGTAATGAAGAATTGTTAACTGCATATTGAGAAAGTGAATAAAACATTTCCATCATCAAAAACATTTATTAAATAATTTTTGACTCAAAATACTTTTCAAAAAAAGCTAACTGATTTTTGAGTCTTTACTCCCTTTCTTTTGATTTTTTAAATGATGAATGTTTATTTACAGATGGTACTCATGAACCACATATATGAAAAGATGTAATATAATGCAGATATGGTTATCCAGAAATAGCCCTTGAATAAACTGAGATGCAGAGACCAAATTCACATAGTTAGAAGTGCCTCAGTATTCTTGCTCCGTGTATTAACACACAACACATTTCATTGAGTTTATTTTGGTCTTCAAGCTTCTTGATGCCAATAATCATCAATTAATTCATTCATGATACAGCCAGCAGAATACTGTAGCCATAAGGGCACTTAGTCACTTTTCAGTTACATGTGGACTATTCATGCTCCCTTCTAAACTTCAGGCTGGCTTTGTCTTATTGGTAATATATACTCATAGAAAGCTAACTTCTGGGTGCTCAGATACTTAACTTCTGAAAATATGTTGAAATAAACCAAATATAAATAAGAGATTAGACCTACCATTGAGATGAAACATATTCTAAGATAAAAAATATGTGACTTCTCAATGAATTGCTATTTCTGTGTACAATACTTTTTCTGTATGATTGATGAATATCATCAAGAATAGGCTGCCTACAATGTTGATAACTAAGTTTACTTTGCAATTCTAAATGCAGTTCATAGCACTTTATTAGCTCAGAGAGAGGTTAGTAGGATGAATCCAGTTTCCATAAGCCCTTCTAAATGGGAAGTAAGACCTCTCCCACATGAATGAGTATTTTTAATGAATTAGAGATAAAAATAGTGTATCTAAATGTTCCCTTCGGGGAGAGGTTGTGTACAGGAGCTCTCTATTGCCAAACTTTCACGTAAGGTCAAGCCCAGGATTACAAGCTATAACCATGTTTGCCATCTTTAAAGCAATTCTTCATATTTAAGAACAAATCAATTTTTTGACATACAGTGTCCAAGTATGGGGTCTGGTATAACCTTAGGGAGACAGAGTCTGCTGTGTAACTAAAATCAACCCATAACTACTGGTGGACAATCCATAAAGATTACTGAATGAAAGAAGTAATAAATATTGTCCTCAACAATGTCAATGTTTCATTATCTAAAAATGTTTACTTGTGTTCTCTGTGTGACACTAGATCCCTGGCAGCAACTGGTCATGCTCACATGCCTCCCTAGAAAATAAAACACCAACACAAAACACAACAAATGAAATGTTTTTGATTTGAAAAAACCTATAGCAAGCAGTGTTGATCATGGCTCTAAGAATGCAAGTTAATTAAATTTGATGATATCTGAAATATTTAAACCTTTATTTATTAATAAACATCACAGAGGGAAAAGAAACATTCAAATGGCACAAAGTAGGTAAAATAAATGTTTACTATTTTTGGTCTCATTTAAAATCTTTTGTCAGTTGAATTTACTCTAAGCTTTACAAAAAGGATTCTTATATAGAAGAGAAAGACATATTTTACCAAAAGAAAGAAGTAAACAAATGTTTAATTCCACTATACCTTCTAAATTGAGAACTGTTGTGAATGACTTCCCTAATACTGTGAAAATTAGTTGGTGATGATTAGAGGCCAAGGCAAGAATTTCATAATGAAGACAAAATATACAGGCTTCTTTCAAACACAGGGATCCATGCATACATGTACTATTGCTGTTTTTAAATTCAGGCTGAATGAAAATAACTTACCTGACACAACAATAATGAGAATCTTAGCATTGGTACCTAAGAGACTATGGAAGAATTTCAGGGTAGCTGGGATGTCTTTTACATAATACAGCATCTAGAAATGAGGAAAAAGAAATGAGATGCTTCTTTATGTTGAAGTCTTTATTGCTTGGGCTAGATACTCCTAGAAAGTTTGATTTTCTAGTTGAGTTAATTTTTATCGAAGAAAACACTTAAGAAATTTAAAAATAAAAGACGTTGCATGAAGACATAGAACAATAATGTGAGAAAATATTTGGGGAAATGGAAAAGTATGGTATTTGTTCGACTAGAGTGAAATGGTTTTAAATTTACCCTTTCTGGCTTCCATAGCACACACATTTATAGCTGGAGACACTTAGTCACCATTCCACATAGGGACATGAATCCTATGCCTATTCTATAATTTCTGAATTGCAGTTCTTCTGGGAGAAAATGGTTTCGGCACCATAAAAACAGATCCCATTTCATGGAACGTTGCTTTACAATTAAGCCCTTTGCACTAGCTTCTCCATATGCTCACAGATGCTTTTTTAAAATCACAGAAAATGTGACAGGCTCTGATGATGTCAGATTCTGTCGGAAGTTGGACTAAATAAAGCATGAGGTTATCTGCTTGGCCACAGGGAGTTTAGGGGTCAGGCCACCCATTTTTAATAATTATGGACCAATCTCTAGTGAAATACAGGCCTTTCCATCCAACACAGAGCTTGGACTTAGGTATTGACAATGGGAAATTGTTCCCCATGGCTTGCATCTTTGGATCCCACCCCCATAGACACTTCTTATATCTCATCTTCATCTTTGTTGGACAAGAATTCAATGTTCCATATAGCTTGTCCTTAGAGAATTCATTGCACAAAAGAAAAGTACTTTAGCTATGGCTCTTTCATATGAATGAATGAAATAAAATGGACCTGACCTGTGCATGGCTCATGGTGCCTTAGGGGCCACACTCCACATTTTCCACCACAGGGACCACAGGCAGGTACCCAAATATAGCAAATCAATATGATGACTAATAATCTGCAATATGACCTGGCTAGAAATGCAGAGGTGGCCCATAGAAGATCCCTTAAATTTTTCTCAAAGACAGTGAAATTTTCTGAATTAACAGTGAGGTTGTAAAAGTATCATGACAGTGTGAGGACTATAGTGAGTAATAGAGAGGCAGAGATGCTGCACAGAAAAATGGGGCGTAGACAGAGATGGAGAGAGAAGAACAGGATAGAGATGCAGAGGGAAACAGAATTGCTGTAAGAAAAAAGGAACAAACATGGAAGTTTTAAGAGAAATAGGAAAGAGAAGTTGATTCCCGAAATCACAACATTTATAACAGAGAAAAGAATGGGATCCAGGGTTAAGCAGTGGGAGTGTTTTTTGATAAAAGGAGGTTTTTGCAATAAGATGGAAGAAGGAGATGGTGCACAAATGCAGTTATGTTTGCAAAGTTAGCAGGTGAAAAATGAGTTTCTATCTGGTAGTTTCTATTTTCTCTATACATTGTGAAGTGAGGTCATCGGTTCAGAACGAATGATCTGGGAGAGATTGCAGGAGTAGTAAGGAGAGAGGGGAGTTATAAAACAGTTATGTGAGGAAGTGGGACCAAAAGCAAATCTGGTAGAGAAATATCTTGGCATTCTGGACAGTGATAAGTACTATCTGACAGGCAAAAGATTTCATCAGCTAACGAAGCAGAGACATAGAATTGCCTGTATATGACGAAATCGGAGTATTTCTTCCTTTGACTTGTAGTAAGTTTATTCTTTTGGGGTGACTATCATTGTAGACCAGGAAGAAAAATAGTGTTTTGTTGTTAATCAAGTGGTATTGCCAAAATATGTACATTTCCCGATGGTAACCAGCATCCAAAACCCATACATCCCTTATGCTATTCAGAAATATTAGTTATCTCTGGAAATCCAGCCCCATGTTATCTACTCAATAGTCACTCCTTTTCTATAACATGTGTGAGTCAGTTTGTTGGATCTGGATGATAGAAGTACAAATTTATCGAACTGAGGCATCATTTAATCTGCCCCTTCGACGATATGTCCACTATAGAAACACTCTGGGACATTGGTCCACCCAAACCTTTAGAGTCACTAGAGAATATGTTATGATGTTATCATTATCAAATCTCTATATAAACATTCAATGATATAAAAATAAATTAAAGACTGGGTGCAGTGACTCACACCTGTAATTCCAACACTGTTGGAGGTTGAGGTGGGAAGATCACTTGAGCCTAGGATTTCAAGACCAGTCTGGGCAACATAGTATGGCCGCAGCTCTACAAAAAATAAAAAAATTAGTTGGGTGTGGTGGTGCACACCTGTGGTCTCAACTAACCAGGAAGTTGGAGTGGGAGGATTGCTTAAGCTCAGGAGGTTAAGGCTACAGTGAGCTAAGATCATGCCACCACACTCCAGCCTGGGTGACACAGCGAGACTCCCATCTCAAAAAAAGAAATAAGAATTAAGCCAACATTTTAACAATGGATAACTGTAGAGGTATTTTGATTAGAGAAAACTGGTTTTTTGAATGTTAAAGAGAATCTTAGTATTATAAACATCTTTATCCTTTATTTCAGCAGATCATGGTCACTTGTAAAATTAGAAATCACAAGATTTTCATTTTCCTTTTAAAAGTTAGAATAGTAGGTATTCATTATATTATATATATCGGAAAAGTCTTCTTTTTATAATACATATTCTTACCTGAATCATATGAATAAAGTCCCACTTTTGAACCTCCTTTTTCTCCAACATTCTTCTTTGATATTCAGATGATGTCTCGTTATGCCAAGCAAACTTTACATTCTCAAGGTTTGATGTCTTGGCTACAAGCTCTAAAATACAGAGAAGAGGTGACACACCATCAATTTTAATTGCAAATGTGGAACCCATTTCCATTTAGAATTTTAATGCAATCAATGTTATATACAAACTGATAGAAAGAACATTTTTCTTTCTTATGTCTGGGAGACCAGAGAGTTCATACTGCTTTTTTTCTAGTATTTAACGAAATTAGAGGTGAAAGAAAGAGTCAGTAAGAAATAATTACAAGAACCCTGGGCAGATATAGGTTATATTGTCTTAGTATTAATGAAGAATCAACCGGTGAATTTTATCAATGGAAAGTGAATTGGAAACAGATGATATGTTTGTATAATTCAGGAGTAGGCAAACCACTGTCCAGGGACTATATCTAGCCTGCTACTTATTTTTGTATGAAGTGCAAGCTAAAAATTGTTCTACTTCCTGATTTTGTGTCACTGCCATTCATGTTTCACGTCATTATATTTTTGAATGATTTAAAAAAACAAAAGAAAGATGCTATTTCATATGTGAAAATGATATGAAATTCAAATTTTAGTGTTTACAAATAAAGTTTTATTCAAACACAGCCATGCTCATTAGTTTACCTTTTTTTGGCTGCCTTTGTGGCACATGGCAAGTTGATTAGTTGTGACAGAGACTGGGCTGACCTTCTGAGTCTAAAATATTTCCTATTTGGTCTTTGCCAGGAAAAGTTTGTGAACTTTTACTGTAACCCACTAAACATAAGCTCTTTAAGGTTGGTTTAAATAATTCTGGACCAATGAATGAATCTCTATCTAAGCATAAACATCAAAAGGTAATCATTGACGACAACTGGGGAATGGATTAAGCGTCAATAGAAAAGGGAGTTTATTATTCACTGTTCACATTTTGAGATGTTTAGTCATGCCTGCCAAGAACTAATTCAGTTCTTCTCCCACTAAGCTTATGAAAAGCATACCACAGTAACTATATTATTAATCATTCAAGGGAACAATTTGAGTTAAGTCTTTTGGGATAGGATCTGGGGTAGAGGACCAGGAGTTACAGGTACCTTTGTATTTGGCAATTTGTTCAGCACTTGGCTCAACAACTTCATTGTTGATACAAACTCCTGGGTATTGAGCCTGAACTTTGGAGACAATTTGAAGATCAATTTCACCTGGAAGATAAACATATGGGACAGGTCACATCATTCCAGCAAGAAATGATTAAAAACAATTTTAGCTGATTTATTATTTGCCCTACCTTTACTAGGAAAGCCTAGCATAAATAAAGAATAATGTTCAACTGCTGCCCTGCCATGAGGCCTGTGATGCTGAACAGTTAGGTTCTAAGTAGGCATAGTAATGTGACTCAAGGAGGGCTGTGAGTGCCATTCATTCGTTCATATGATCTTTAACATCTATCACTATATTTCATCAAATCAAAGATGCTGTTGATTGTAGAAGGAAATTAACCCTTATTTTTGTTTCACCAAGTTAGAAAAAAGCCACTGTCAATTATAATTTTAAGATTTTATCAGCTGGACAGCATAACAATATCAGAGGTATTAAAATATGAAAAAAAAATGCACCTCAGAATTGGTAGAGTAGGCTAGGCCAGAAGAGTACAAGAAAAAAAAGTCAGATTAAAACAGGGTACAAATAAGTCAGGTAAAATAAAGAAGAAAAACATGTCAGATATCTGCCCTCATAAACACTATTATCTGTAACGCAGACACAGAAATAGCCCTGGCTCAGTTGAATCAAGGTAGGAAAGGGGAAGAGAACATGTGGGGAGAGGATGAGAGATGAGGCCAGGGTGATGGTGCTTCATGGGGGAAGATCACTAGTGAACTCTGTCACTCTCAGGGTAAATGGGAGTTAGCCCAGAAACTGTGGGGAAGTGAGGGATTGCAGATACAGGGGACAAGATGACAGACACACACACAGAAAATAGAAGAGTGTATTTGGAACTACCAGCAGTCTGGATTTCTTAGAATATGGAGCAAGGCAGGGCCTCCAAGCAAGAGGTGATTCCAGAAAGGTATGATGAGGTGACTATGAGCAAGGCAGATATTTATTCATACTTATATTATTCATATTATTATATGAATATAATATAATAATTATATTATTCACATATATTATTCATATTATACCATGTTTCAGGCACTGCACTAGGCTCTACAGAATGATTATAAGGGTCAGTAGATACTTGCCCTGGTGAAAATTCAGCCTGTAAGGGATAGTGTAAGAGAGATGACAATAATCAGATGGATTTGAGTTTTAAACCTGTCTTCTTCACTTACTCGGTATATACAACTTTGGGCAATTTGCTTTACCTCTCCAAGCTTCATTTTTTTAATTAGAAAAATAAAAATAATAATAGTACCTAATTTATTAGTTGTGAAGGTTAAATGAAGTAATGCATATAATGCACAGTGCAAAATAAAGTTGGCACTGAATAAATGTTAGCTGTTCATTATTTTTATTGTTATCTTGAGTCCATCTCTTGAAAAAATCTCTTCTCTCCCTATTGCTGATACCTCCAACTTATGCTTTGCACTTTTATTCAATTAGGTTACGATGTTGACCTTCATTAAAATGGAAATACCTCCTGGCAAGATTAGCATAGGAAAATGATGTTAGTCTTTAACATTTGGCATAAATGACATTAACAGAACCTTTCCAAGGTTGCACATGGCAGGAAGCAAAAGCAGAGGTCATAAGACTGGGAGGTCTGGAAGGAAAGAGATGAGGAAGATAAACCAGGAATAGAAGATGCTAGACTAGGAAAAGACAGTGGTCCAGAAGCATATGAGTCCCAAATACTGGCAATAGGAGATGGCATACATGGTGTGTGTGGAGGGAAGGAGGGAGAGTGGGAAGGAAGCTGAAATAGAGTATGAAGTCACTTATGTGACCATTTTCTTCACAGCCAGCCCTACCTACTTAAAATCGTGTATTTCTTCATTGATAACTATGGCTGCCATTTATTATTGGCCGCCTACTAATTGCCAAACACTGTGCTAGGCTCTTTACCTGGAATATCTCATTAATCCTGACAGCAAGTTCCATGATATTATTAATATTCCCAACTGGATTAGGTGATTTGATTATGTTGACATTCAAGGGATATTGATATACCTGAAGTTTAAGTCACATTTGTCTAAATCTACAATATTTGTTCTTCTAACTACTTCATATAAGAAGTAGAAAGATAACAAACACTAAAAAGACATGAAAAGCCTTTTATTCTTCTGTTCAGCGACCATTTTGAAGGGAAAAAAAGATAACTAAGACAAAAGCCTGATAAGAATAGCTGTGGGCTAATGGGAAATAGATTCTAGTTTGCTCCCAAAAGACTAGAGACCAAAATTTTCTATTCTTGCCTCATATTAACCTAGCTACACATTTTAAATGAAAAATTTGAGGATCTCAAATTTGACATTTTGAAAAAGATAACTGAAATGCAATTATATTCCCTCAGGACTTGATGAGCTCTGCTCCAAAGATGGACCTAGACATTTCAGGTTGGCCTGGTTGGCAAAATATATCTAGCACAATCTGGAACATGTTCACAGCCAGGCAGTCCCTCTTCCTGGGGCACTGATAGAGGACACAATGCTAGAATCACAACTGACATACGGAAACCATTGGTTTGCATAACACCCTCTAGAGTGTAAGCCCATGTGTGCTGGATTCCTAGCAAAAATAAATTAAGTTTAAGAAGAGGCGATAATGCAACTATTTCCTTAAGAGTCAATTAGAACATAAAATCTATTTCTGACCTCATAAGTAGGGTGACCATACTTGTTTGTCAGGGACATTTCCATTTTATACCTGTTGTTTTAGTGTCCATCTGCTTTTGTTTTTTGGTCCTAACTTGTTCATATGTTTGTTGGCTGCATAAATGTCTTCTTTTGAGAAGTGTCTGTTCATATCCTTTGCCCCCTTTTTGATGGGGTGTTTTTTTTTTTCTTATAAATTCATTTAAGTTCCTTGTTAATTCTGGATATTAGACCTTCGTCAGACGGGTAGAGTGCAGAAATTTTATCCCATTCTGTAGGTTGCCTGTTCACTCTGATGATAGTTTCTTTTGCCGTGCAGAAGCTTTTTAGTTTAATTATATCCCATTTGTAAATTTTGGCTTTTGTTGCAATTGCTTTCGGCATTTTTGTCATGAAGTCTTTGTCCATGCCTATGTCCTGAATGGTATTGACTAGGTTTTCTTCTAGGTTTTTATGGTTTTAGGTTTTACATTTAAGTCTTTAATCCACCTTGAGTTAGTTTTTGTGTAAGGTGTAAGGAAGGGGTCCAGTTTCAGTTTTCTGCATATGGCTAGCCAGTTTTCCCAGCACCATTTACTGGATAGGAGATCCTTTCCCTGTTGCTTGTTTTTGTCAGGTTTGTTGAAGATCAGATGGTTGTAGATGTGTGGTGTTATTTCTGAGGTCTCTGTTCTGTTTCATTGATCTCTATGTCTGTTTTGGTACCAGTACCATGCTGTTTTGGTTACTGTAGACTTGTAGTTTGAAGTCAGGTAGCATGATGCCTCCAGCTTTGTTCCTTTTGCTTAGGATTGTCCTGGCTATATGTGATCTTCTTTGATTAGATATGAAACTTAAAATAGCTTTTTCTAATTCTGTGAAGAATGTCAATGGTATTTTGATGGGAATAGCATTGAATCTATAAATCAATTTGGGCAGTATGGCCATTTTCATAAAATTGATTCTTCTTATCCAGGAGGATGGAATGTTTTTCCATTCGATTGCATCCTCTCTTACATCCTTGAACAATGCTTTGTAGTTCTCCTTGAAGAGGTTCTTCACATCACTTTTAGCTGTATTCCTAGGTATTTTATTCTCTTTGTAGCAATTGTGATTGGGAGTTTATTCATGATTTGGCTCTGTATTTGTCTATTGTTGGTGTAAAGGAATGCTTGTGATTTTTGCACATTGATTTTGTATCCTGAGACTTTGCTGAAGCTGCTTATCAGTTTCAGAAGTTTTTAGGCCGAGATGATGGGGTTTTCTAGATATACAATCATGTTGTCTGCAAACAGAGACGATTTGACTTCCTCTCCTCCTATTTGAATACCTTTTATTTCTTTCTATTGCCTGATTGCCCTGGCAACAACTTCCAATACTATGTTAAATAGGAGTGGTGAGAGACGACATCCTTGTCTTGTACCAGTTTTCAACAAGAATGCTTCCAGCTTTTGCCCAGTCAATATGATATTGGTTGGGTAAATTCACCATAAATAGTTTTTATTATTTTGAGATATGTTCCATTAATACCTAGTTTATTGAGAGTTTTTAACAAGAAAAGATGTTTAATTTTATCAAAGGCCTTTTCTGCATCTATTGAGATAATCATGTGGTTTTTGTCTCTCATTCTGCTTATGTGATAGATTATGTTTTTTGATTTGTGTATGTTGAACCAGCCTTGCATCCCAGGGATGAAGCCGACTTGATCCTGGTAGATAAGTTTTTTGATGTGCTGCTGAATTCCATTTGCCAGTATTTTATTGAGGATTTTCCCATCGATACTGATCAGAGATATTGGCCTGAAGTGTCCTTTTTTTTGTTGTGTCTCTTCCTGATTTTGTTATCAGGATGATGCTGGCTTCATAAAATGAGTTAGGGAGGCATCCCTCCTTTTCAATCGCTTGTAATAGTATCTGAAGAAATGGTACCAGCTCCTCTTTGTATTTCTGGTAGGACTCAGCTGTGAATCCATCTGGTCCTGGACTTTCTTTGGTTGGTAGGCTATTAATTACTGCCTCAATTTCAGAACTTGTTATTGGTCTATTCAGGGATTCCACTTCTTCTTGGTTTAGTCTTAATGGGGGAGGGGGGAAGTGCCCAGGAATTTAACCATTTCTTCTAGAGTTTCTAGTTTATAATGTAGAGGTGTTTATAGTATTCTCTGATGGTAGTTTGTATTTCTGTGGGGTCAGTAGGGATATCCCCTTTACCATTTTTTATTGTGTCTATTTGATTCTTCTCTCTTTTCTTCTTCATTAGTCTAGCTAGCAGTCTGTCTATTTTGTTAATTTTTTCAAAAAACCAGCTCCTGAACTCATTGATTTTTTTTTTTTTTTGAGGTTTTTTTGGGTCTCTACCTCCTTTAATTCTTCTCTGATCTTAGTTATTTCTAGTCTTCTGCCAGCTTT